CACGCTGCTCCTTGACCTAGTTACCAGGTACCAACATCTGCCACGCTACTCCTTGACCTAGTTACCAGGTACTAACATCTGCCACGCTGCTCCTTGACCCCAAATGCAGAAGCAGTCCAAAGTTGCCGACATCATTTATCCTGAGTTGTTCAGTTAAGAACAAAGACACTCTCTTTCCCAACATGGCATCAAACTGGCGCAGGAACCCTGGCATGGTCCTTACCAGCCTCACCGGGAGTCTCTGACAGGACATCTGACTCCTCCCTTGTCCTGGTCACAGATCCTTCTCATTCCCAGACCTTGGCGGTTTTGAGGATTGGTTATTTTGAGGCTGACTGGAGTGAGGCTTTGGCTGTGTGTTCTGTTTGCCCCAGATGGGCACCATGGGCAGAAACACACAAGTCCCTTGGGTCTACCCTGAGCAGTCCCTATTCTGAACCTGTCCATGGGGGGTGGGAGTGGGGAATCACCCAAAGATGAAACCCTTGGCTCAAAGGAGTCTCAGGGACCTGCAGGTTGTGACTGGGCTGGTAACAGAAGTGCAGCTTTCCTGGAGTTTTATCAGATGATACAGCTATCCCCATCCTGCCCAGAGCTCTGGACCACCCCGCCCTGGCTCTCTCCACTCAACCCGAGTCTTGGCCCTCTTGTGTCTAATTAGAGATAAAATGTTCCCCATGCCACAAGCAGCTAGAATTAATAGAATGAGATCCTCTGGGCCTGTATGAGGGACCTGTTTGGGGAGTGAATGTTCCTGGATCACTTGCCTTCCCAGATGAGATCAGGGCATGGGCAGGGACCAGCTGAGATGCTGGGGGACAGGCCAAGGAGAAATCTCAGAGCCTTTGACCAGCCTGGTCTTGAACTTCTGTCTGGGGAAGGAGGTTGGTGTGTGCTGGTCTGGGCTCCACAGGCTATGCTCTTTACAGTGGTGGGTGTTAGGCGGAGGGAGGGCTGTGGCAGGTGGAAGCATCCCTTGACTCCCGTAACCCTGTGTTTCCTGTCTCCTTCCTTCCCTCTGGGATCCCTTGGGTGCCCCAAACCATGCTGACTCCCAGCAGAGGACTCTTGGTGTAAATGCCACTCAGGGACCCATGCTCTGACTGAGACTGACTTAGTGTGAGAACTTCCTTTTGCTGGCCACCTTCTCTTCATGGGCCCTCTTTCCTGTAGGCAGCAATGTGCTTGTCTTGGGTTGAGGGAGGGGCTGTTAGATGCCCACGGTTGGCCTCCTGATATGAGGCTGTGGCTTAGGTGGGCTTCTCCTGGTCTTGCACCCTCAAAGGTTGCTGACTCTCAGCTTTTGCCCCAGGTCAAGACTGAGCCGTGTCTGCCCCGAGGGACAGAGGAATCCCCATTTTGCAACTGCCCCTGTCTCCCCCCGACCCCCAGTCAGTCTGTCCTCCTGTGACCTTAATGCTCAGCGGGTGTTCTGGGTCACATGTGGATGGTCTCTCAAACTTAGGAGTGAATTTCCCAGCCAGGTGCCCCACCCTATGGAATATAGGGGCTGGTGTACCCCTAAGCATGAGTTCTCAGTTGTTCTGGTGGGGAGGGTCGGTATCCCTGCCAGCAGGCCACCCAAGTCCCACTACTTGTCCTTGGCTTTGCAGCAGAGGGTCCCCAGGTGCCCAGTCCCACCCTGTGGAACGAGCCCATTGAATTGCCATCCGGTGAGGGTCCTTTGGAGAGCACCAGCCACAGCCAGGAATTTGCAGCCTCAGGCCCACCGTTCCCCACCTCTGCCCCAGGACCAGAGGACAACAGCCCTCCTGCAGGGGTGGACCAGGACGCAGGTAAAGTGTGAGCCGAACAGGGAGAGGGGAGGGAGGAGAATGAGAGGGAGGGGAGGGAGGAAGAACAGCATGAAGGGTCAGGCTTTGGCTGGACCTCTGAGGTGACAAGTTCCTCTGTTCTCCACAGGATCGCTTGGGCCTGGAGCCATTGCAGCCATCGTGATCGCCGCCCTTTTGGCCACCTGCGTAGTGCTGGCACTCGTGGTCGTTGCGCTGAGAAAGTTTTCTGCTTCTTGAAGCCAATAAAGAGCTGCGCAGGCCCGCCCGCGGCGACTCTGCAACCTGTGCTCTCCTTTGTCCCCCTCCGCGTCCCCGGTGTCCCCGCGTGTGCGAGCCCGCGTGCAGGTGTAGCGGCATGTGAACGGGACGGGGGCGTGTTGCTGGGCCTCGCCGCGTGCCTGGAGCCGTGGGTGGAAAACTCCAGGCGGGGAACATGTGCACGCGTGGCCACGGGTGTGTGTGTGTGTGTGTGTGTGTGTGTGTGTGTGTGCGCGCGCGCGCGCGTTGTATGTTCCTGGAGTGCACACAGAGCGCGGGGAACTCCGGTGTCCACGCTCTAAGGACCACTCGCAGCGTGATTTAGGGCCACCGAACTCCTAGTCCCTTGTGCTTCAGCCTGGCAAGACTGGGGGCGGGGAAGCAGAACTGGAGAGCTTGACCCAGGTTCATTCTGTTTCTTGAGACCAACTGGCAAATGGTGGAGGACTGACATTGGGTGGGCTAGTAAAGGCTTTTAACTGACTCAGGCAGGAGGGGCCATCTCCTAATTCAGAACCCCAACCCTTGTGTCTTCACCCCTCCTCCCAAGGCTGCGAATTTTCCCATTTCCAACCACACACTCTTTGGGGCCTGGGTTTCGTGTATGTTCTCCCTGGAGAGCACTCTGGGACAGAATGAAGAGGGGAGTGGAGACGAGCCAGCCTAGAAGGACAGGGTAGGAGCTGCGGCCCTCTGGTCGCACCGTGGCAAGGGGTCATCTCCTCCCAGGAATGCTCAGGGGTCTGAGGTCTCAAGATCACCAAGAACTGGGCACGATCAGTGGGAAGACACTGCAAAGTCCAGCGGCTCAAACTCAAGGCCTGTTCTGGGTCAGGCATGGTGGCACATGCCTGCAATGGCAGTACTTTGGAGGCTGAGGCGGGAGGATGAATTTTGAGGCCAATCTGGGCTATATTGGGTCACAGTCTCAGGAGACTAAACAAACAAAAGGCCTGTTTTGATGTAGAGCATCTCTCTGGCGGAATTGCAGCGCGCTGGACACTTTCCTGACACTCTGGAACAGAAACAGGGTAGGGGTGGCTGTGCAGGCCTGGGTAGGCGCAGCCACTCGGGGAGCCAGCTGCCACTGAAGGCACAGAGGGACATCTGACGCCAGTGTCTGGACCAGGGAGGAAGTCCGGGTCCCAGGGCTGGTGTCAGATCCCCTAATGGCCACTGCTGACTGATACCTGAGGGTCCCTGTGACCTTGTATGTGTGCACTTATGCAGTAGCAGGAGTCTCCCATTCCCTCAGAGAGCCCTTTCTTGAGTCCCCCTGCCATAAGCAGACCCCCAAGCCCATTCTCACTCTGAGACCTGATGTTAGCTGTTCCCTTTGAAGTGTTTGCAGGGCCCCTCCTCTGGGAGAGGTTTCTCCTACCGGCTCCCCTCTCCCAACCCAGAACCAAATGCTTCATTGCTGTGCGCACATGGGGTGATAAAGAATAGGCTCCACCCCTTGCTTTATACAGGATGCTTCTTTTAATGCAGCCAAAAAAAAAAAATGATATTTGCTTTTCTCAAAACCATGACCATAAAGGATGCAGTGACCAATTCATTCTGCAAAAAACACCTGGGCTCCTTCAGGGGCCAGGAGACACAAGCGGCATCTAGCCCTTCAAGGAGCCAGAGACAAGAACCCTTCAGCCAAGCTCTGGGAGGCCTGCTGAGGGCAGGGCTTGGCCGTGCAAGAGAGGCTGGCAGAGGCGCAGGGAGGGGCGGGCAGCTTCAGCACTGCTCACAAGCTCCCTCAGGCAGGGGCGGCCCATTGCTGTGCCCGGTGGACTCTTCCAAAGTAGGGAAGGACACGTGCAGTTCAGGGGACCTGACAGTAGTCACCTCCTGCCTGCCTTGGCCAGGAACCCCTGCGTGGGCCTCTCCAGGCACTGGAAGGTCTCCGGAACATGCCTACCCTCTTCTAGCTCGGAGAGACTGGAGAGGTGGTGGTGTAAATCTGCTAAAGTACTTAGCCATCGCTGCCAGTGTGTAAGCAAGGGAGTGACCAGGACGCTAGTGCCCCCTACAGTGTAGGTAGGGACAGTGCAGGCCCAAGCCATTCCTGCTTCCTGGGAAGGCACTGACCTTTGCTCCCTAAGATCCTCTGTATCTGTTGGGGTTCTCTGCTGGGTCTGCACCCCCCTGCCCACACCCCTCCCTCAGGCTGGTGCCTAAGCTGGGGTTCATTGTCTATTCCGGCTGCCCAACTTCCTGCGGTCCTTATTCTGGCTGCGCTGAGGGTCCTCCATCTTATGTACTCGGAAACATTCCTTGAGGTTCTGGGAGCGGATCTTGGGGTTCAGGATCTCCTCCGTCATGGAACTGGGAAACCAGCCTCTCTCCTGGTCATGCAGGCGCTCGCCAAATATCCACCCTGCAAAGGAGGCAGTAGGGTCAGGATGAGACAAGGCTGGGCCTTCCTTAGCTTGGTTTCCCCTCTGTCTGGGAAGCAAGGACTGAGCCACACTCAGGAGTTCAGCATTTCCCACAGGGCAGTGGCTGGGCACCCCACCTAAGCTTGGATTGCTCCTATGATGTGCTAGGAAACACATGGAATGTGAAAAACCAGGCGTCAGGCTCTCCCACGGGTGGCAGCCTATTTCTGAAGGTTCCAAGGCTGCCCCATACCAGGACAGGAGGAGACCTGGAGGGCCACCCCTAACAGAGGCATCCAGGGGGCCAGTGTAGGAGACAGCTGATCACTGGACAGTGAGCTTACCCACTCATTGGGCACATTTTCTCAGAATCTCACTTGGAGGACCAAGTGGTTGCTGGTGGGGGATGGGGGTGGCCATTATAAACTTTGGGGACACGCTGAGTTCCCAAGCGCCCTCACCTTTTCTCTGTTGCCTCTTCTCTCCTAGAAGTCTTTTGCCAGGCTTGTTGCTAAATAGCCTGTCTCTACCGGGGTCAGAGGTGTGCCTTCTGCAGGCCACCTTGGGAGGAGTGTGAGGCAGCAGATTATGCTGGGGAAAGGGCAGAGAGGTCCCTGGGACCCCCAGAGGGATACTGTAGAGATCACTTTGTTTCCCAGTCAAGGCCTGGGACAAAGGAGGGGATAGGAAGGGGTCTTTGTTCTCTTCGGGTATTTTGATGGCCTCTGTTGCAATGGCATCTGGTTCACACTCTGTGGCCAGGCCACATATGAAATTTCAGGGATTTTTTTTTTCCTGCCTCTGCCTCCCAAATGGTGGAATTACAGGTGTGTGCTCCTGGGATCTTGATCAAGAACATTTCATATACAAAAGTCGGGATTACTACATGGGTTACTTTGGGGTTAAATTGGGCAGGGGCCACAGGAAAACTCTGGAGCTAATCCTGCCTGCCACCCACAGGGTGGGCAAGAACAGGGATTCATGGCCCAGTGGTCTCAGGTGACCCCAGAAGCTTTTGACCAAACAGGTTGAGGTCAGGGTCAAGCTTCCTCCTAGGGGAAGGCTGAGGCCATAGGCAAGGCTGGTGAGAGACAGAGGAACACCTGCCAGGCCTGCAGGAAGGGGAAGGAGCACGGCAGCTCACAGGATGGAAGAAAGTCTGAGGAAAGCCAAGGATGCTGGGCCCAGTGCTCAGGCAGGATGTCCTGGGCAGTACCAGCACCAGCAAGGATGCCGGGCTGTGCCTGCCCACCTGCCAACTGTGCCATCGTGTCCTACACCCAAGCTATAGTTCTTCATCCCCTTCGAGGGGCATGGTGGACCGGGATGCAGGGTCCCCTGGGAGCCTCACCATCCTCCGTCTTCTCCAGGATGTTCAGGATGTCTGCCAGTTCCAGCGTCAGCTCATCAGGCTGCTGGGCCACGTACGGGTGTACACACTGGACCTGGGGACAGTCTGCAGGATGGGAGAGTGGAATGGTCTGTCCCCACCACAGGTTCCACCTTGCCCCACATCCAGACAAGCAAGGACGACAGGCAGTGGCCCAGGGGACAACGCTGTTAGCGGCGGGTGGCTAAGTCCTATCTTAAACAGGACCTTGGGACAGCACATCAGTGAGGAAGGTCCCCTCTGGGAGGGAAGAGCTCACATCCTAGGGAGGCCTCATTAGACTACCAGGAATTCTGGGAAGACAGAGGAAAGGATTTGCTGGCTATAATGGGGTTCTCAGCCTAGAAGGCAGGAAGAACCTCTTGTTCTCAGGTGTGACCCAGTGAGCAGCTGGGGGTGAGGACAGGCCAGCAGGCTGGGACAGTAACTTTCTTCACAAGCCAGGCTCATGCTCCCTTGGGTCTTCCATGAGTTTTAGACAACTGAAAAATCCAGAAGAACAATGGAGTTTGGGTCTAAAATATCCTGCCACCTGACTCTTAAGACTCAGGGACTTCCATTTCTTCCTTAACCATCCAATTTGAACGAAGCTGAGGCAACCAGTGTACACAGGCACCGAGCTTCCGGTTGGTACCAGACAGTCAAGGAACCCTGGAACTGAGGCCCAGTGAGTCTTAGCCAAAGCCCACCGAGAGCCCCCGTTCTAAGTCAGGGACTCACCCAGCAGCCGGGACGTGAAGGACACGAACTTGGTCCTCCTGTTGGGGGCCAGTGAGGTCATCCAGCGCTTCATTTCACTCCTGCATAGGAAGGGGACAGACAGCGCCCCCACTTCAGAGCCAACAAACTCCTCCCTATTGCATGCGCTTGGGCCCTCAGATCAACGACATTCTGAGCCTGGCGCCAGGACAGCTCAGTTGGCTGCCCAGGGAACCCATGCCCGCCAGTGTGAGGAGCCGCCACCCGAGCGAGGTCCTCAAAGCTAGCCCTCAAAGACGTGCTATAGTGAGCTCTCTCAGCTGTGACAAAGGTGGGAGTGTGATCACCACTTCCTGTCAGTCACTCCTGTGACCTAGAGCTCAGGGTGTCAGCAGGGCAGGAGGCAATTCCTGGTGGGGTATGGTTCGGGGCAGCTGAGTCCAGAGGAGAGAGCTGAGGCCACCTGGGTAGGTCCAAGAGAAAGCTGGGGCTCTGTGGTCCACCAAGCAGTTCCTACGGTCTTATGTAACCCCCAAGGGCTTGGGACTGTAAAGCAGCTGCT